AATTAGTTTTGTATAAAAAAAAGGATGGTGTTATAGTTAATTGGTGAACAAAAACTAATCCGATCAATGTGATTTTGATATCCGATTAATATAATTTTTTATAAGTATATAGTACTCGATGACTTCTACATATTCAACGGTTCAGATTATCAAAATGAGACTCGTGGTGGCCCCACGATCCATACAGCACAGTCTAAATAATTGCCCGCGAAAGAGACAATCATTTCTTTTTCTTCTTCCCCTGCACAGAAAACGCGCCTTAGAGCATCTCCAGCAGCCTATGCATTTCACCAAAAATTGTACAATAGTCAGCCAATAATCATAAATTCCTTCTCCAGCAACCTAGCTACTGTGAAGCCAAACCAACATTTTGCTACAGTACCTCGCTAGGAAAGACGAGGTACTGTGCACTAGCTCTGAATTTTTTTTATCCTTTTTTAATTCAAACTTTTGTTTTTAAGAATATTTTAATAGAAGATATTTAAATTATAATAATATTTTAACAAAAGATAGTTAAAGTAGATAGCCTGTTGGAGTGTATATTAAAAAACCAACTAGCTAAAATAGTAAAGTAAAATTTTGAATAGCTATTTTGACTATCATTGCTGGAGATGCTCTTACTGCCTATTCTGCCTTACTGCCTATTCTACCTTACTTCTCCCGTATAGATTATTTGAGATGATTTAAATAAGTGTACTTATTGACTTTTTATGAAATATAGATTTGGTATGGGTTGGATTTGAAGTGATGTAATGGAGAGGTGATGTGACTTAAATAAAATGATGTGACTTAAATAGGATAGTGACTTTTTAATTTTTTAACTTTTTAACTTTTTTAAGTTATGACAAACAAAGCCTTATTTATACAATTTTTTATTACATATTTTTTCATAAAAAGTTAACACAAACATCCATATTTTTTTTTTCTTAACTTTTTAATCTAAAAAGAAAAAAGTACATTTATTTAAAATACCTCAAATAACCTAAAAATTTGATAAAACATTTGGTAAATGATTAAAAATTGCTTTACATAAAGTTAACCCAAACATCCATATTTTCAACCTCAATTTTTTAATCCAAAAAGACAAAAAGTGCACTTTTTTAGTCTTCCCAAACTTGACCTAAGACCAGTTCTGGCTCATAATAAATGTGATGTGATGCTGCCCAGCAAAAACTCAATTATTTTATTTAGTTTTTTTATTTTTTGATTATTTTATGTAATAGAATAAAAAAATTGTATTTAGGATAATTTGGCTATATTTTAATTGTAGTTTAAGTAGATGGTTGTATGAGAAAAAATGATTAATTGATGAATAGAATGTGACATTTTATATTATTGACTATATCAACTCTCATATAATGTGGACCTAAAATATTGTTTGAGGCCATAAACCTGAATGGATGGTATCTTCAACAGCTTAAGATTGCCACAGATTTCTTTTGTTAAACTGTCAGCGTGGAACTTGGCTAACCATTGAATTTGTGATTAAATTACTTGTTGAATTCTCAATCACTTTATTTTCATTATGGTTTTAGTGGATGCTATGTTGTTGTTCATTTAAATTACTTCCCATCAAGGTTTGATCATATGCAATTGAACTGAACGGGTTTAAATTTCGGGCTATTGAGCTTAGATCTACGAATGATTGGCTCTGAAGGTTCAGGTAACTACAATTTCTTTTATTTTTTTAAAATTTTTAATTCCTGTTAATGAATACTTGATCAAATATGCTGCAAGTTCACTTCAAGTATTCCATTTAGGGAAAGTCTATAGTACATTTTGTTCAAAAAAATGTACCGTACATAAAAAATCAATGGCTAGGATTGAGCCACATCATTAAAAGTGACCTGCTAAACAGGTCACTTTTTATAATTATGAGTTAAAATCATATTTTTTCATAACTATAATCAAATTGATCATAACTTAGTTATAACCACATCTCATAACCAACACCATTTTGTTCATAACTAATATCACATATTTCATAATCATAATCACATATCTCATATCCAACACCACTTTAAACATAACAAATATCACACATCGCATAACCATTGATCACATATCTCATAACTACTACCCACATAAATCATAACCACATCCAATAACTAGCCCCTTTGAGTCATAACCAACATCACATATCTCATAACCACTAGTCACATATCTCGTAGCCAATGCCTTTTTGTCATAACCAACATCACATATCTCATAACCACTAATCACATATCTTATAATTAACACCTTTTTACTCATAACCACACCACTTTGATCATAACCAACATCACATATCTCATAACTACTAGTTACATATCTAATAACCAACATCACATATCTCATAACCACTAGTTACATAACCAATATCTTATAACTCATAACCATTAATAAATATAGCATAACCTTATCCTTTGACACCACTTTGCTCATAATCATTACCCACATATCTCATAACCACTAACACATATAGTATAACTAAACACCCTTTGACATCACTTTGCTCATAACAATTACCCATATATCTCATAACCACTAACACATATACCCACATATCTCATAACCACTAACACATATAGCATAACCAAATACCTTTTGACACCACTTTGCTTATAACCATTACCCACATATTTCATAACCACTAACACATATAGCATAATCAAACACCTTTTGACACCACTTTGCTTATAACCATTACCCACATATCTCATAACCACTAACACATATAGCATAACCAAATACCCTTTGACACCACTTTGCTCATAACCATTACCCACATATTTCATAACCACTAACACATATAGCATAACCAAATACCCTTTGACACCACTTTGCTCATAACCATTACCCACATATCTCATAACCAACATCACATATATCATAACTACTAATCACATATCTCATAACCAAACACCCTTTGACTTATAACTATACCACTCTGCTCATAACCAAAATCACATATCTCATAATCACTAATCATATATCTCATTACCTTTACCCACATATGTTATAACCACATCTTATAACCAACACCCTTTGTTTCATAATCAATATCACATATATCATAACCACTAATCATATATCTCATAAACACTACCCACATATAGGGGTGTAAATTTGGCCCACGAGCTAGCGGCACACCCCAAGTCTACTCGTGTCCTAGGTAGGCCCAACTAGGCTCGAGGCTAAACCCAACCTAAGATATGTGTCCTAGACCCGGCCCGACCCTGGTGTGTTATGGAGTGTGACCCATCTCGTGAGCTCGTTCCGAAATTTTCTTCCCCATCTGGCTCGACCCGACCCCAATGGTTCCCTACCCCCTTTGTCAGTGCAATGGTAAAAAATTAAATCAGAACAATTTGATAAAATCATATAACCATTAATTCCACCAACAATCAATTTTTATTTTATTTTATTTTATATATACATATATAAATTAACTCCTCCCTCCCAAGTCCTATAAATACCACCCCTCTCACATTTTATTTCTCACAAACAAATCTGTCTCTCAAACTCTCATTCTCTCTAAACTCTCAACTCTCTCAATTAATTTTGAAGTGTCATCCCTAAGTGACAATTGCAATTGATCACCTATCTCTATTTTAGATTTATTTTTAGTCATGGTATCTTCATTAAAGATAATAGAAATAATAATATACAAACGATATACTTTTTAAAATATCTATATACACTTATAGACATATATATATATATATAATTTAAATAAATTTTAATAAAAAATATGCTGATAAAAATTATCTATGACGTGATTTTATTTTGTTGCACTAAATAATTTTTCTCCTAAATTTTTTTCCCAACTTTTCTTCATTTTTTTCTCCACTCAATTTTCTTTCTCTTGATTTGTCCTAGTTGTGCCTGAGCTCTCTCTATTTCTTAATCAGACTTCTCTATTTCGCTGAATCATCGAACGACCATCGTTGATAGTTCTTCCTCACTGGATTCTTCTTCTCTATACTCTTGTGTCTCTGCAATAGATCCTTGAACTCGTCACTATTTTCTTTGTCTATTTCAACACTATTCATTTTGGTGACATTTCTTTATCTAGTAAATACATTTATCTCAAAACTCTGGCTCTTTCGCATTAATATGTCATACATATACAAACCTTTGGCCGTAGTTATGATTTTATCAATTTGTACATATGTTATAGAACTGTTGGGATATTTTTTTCAATTAAATTTTTGGGATATTTACCGATAAATCCCATCCAACAGACAGTTGCACCAATTGGTCCCAACGTTGCATCTGTTGTTCTAATTAGTCCTATGGGCATTGCTTCCGACCCCCAGTGGGGGTGACCCCCAGTGGCACCCCCAGTGACGTGGCAGCGTGTGGTTGGCTGAAATCCAAAAAAAAAAAAACTGTTTTTGCACCAATCAGGGACGACCCCCAGCACCCCCAGCTGGGGGTCTAAGTCATTTTCCTTAGTCCTATTAGTGGGGAAATATCTTTCCATGGCCAAGGGAACTAATGTTGATGAAGGAAAAAGTTCACTGCCGCCATTTGGGGTTGGGGATTCGAAAGTAGTGAACACGAAGGGGAATATTGGGGGATCCTACATGGCTAAACCTCGAAAGCCAAGGCGATGCCAGTGTTGCAGGTATACATTATATTGTGCTTTGTGTCTTAATTTTATTATTGTGTTAGGATAGCTATGTTGCGTACATATGTCAGTTCAATTGTATGGTGTGCCACACCGAGGTCATTTGTCTGTGTTGGGCACATTCGTATTCAATGTTTTTATTGGGTTCATGTGTTTAAATCAGTGTGTGTGGTGCCACATTGGGGTCATTCATTTTAAATGGGTTGTTTCAGTTCAATGCAAAAAGTACAACAAGCCTTAGTGTACTTACCAATGTTGTGGCACCCAACAAACACCCTGAGCATGCCACGTGGCGAGCCATACTCCAAACCTCTAACACACGGGTTGTGGCAGGCGACCAACACCTATTCCAAAAACATAATACAACACCAAATAACACGGACACATGCGTAATCAACAATCTGGGTCTTTCGCGAATGTGGGCTTTATTCACAAGGATTTGCACAATTATATTCAAGCCGAGCGCAAAATAGAAATGAAGGATGGTGACACGGAGTATGCTTTGGCTTACTTATGTGCAAAAGCTGATGCTAACCCTTACTTCTTTTACAAGTATGACAAGGATCAAGAGAACCGGCTTGGCAAATTGTTTTGGGCAGATTCAAGGTCTCGCCTAGACTATGCTGCATTTGGTGACGTGTTGGTCTTTGATACGACTTATAAAACGAATGCATATAACAAACCTTTTGTTATTTTCATCGGGGTCAATAACCATTTTGAAACCACCATATTTGCATACAACTTGCTTGTTGATGAGACAATTGCAACATACACATGGGTTTTGCAGAAGTTGTTAGAAACCATGGATAACAAAAGACCGGTGTCAGTGTTGATAGATGGGGATATGGCCATGAGTGAGGCAATACAAAAAGTCTTTCCAAATGCCAAGCATCGTCTATGTAATTGGCATATGCACAGAAATGCCAAGCGAAATGTTCAAGTCGATGAATTTGAAGGACATTTCAAGCATCTCATGGATCTTGATGCGAATGAGGTTGTATTTGAGGAAGCTTGGAGTAAGATGGTCAGAAAATATGGCCTTCAAAATAACAAGTGGGTATCAGACACCTATAATAACAAAGGCATGTGGGCTCAGTCATATTTGCGTGGTTATTTTTTTGCTGGAATGAAGAGCAGTCAGCGTTGTGAGGGTATGCATGCTTTTTTCAATGAGTGCCTCAAATGAAAATTAAAACTATTCGAATTTGTTAGATGTTTTGACATGGCCCTTTATCGATTACGGAACAAAGAAGCGGATGCCGAGGCAAAAACTGACAACAGTGATCCTTGTCTTACCACAACACTTCAGCCTCTAGAGAAACATGCAGCAACCATCTTTACCAGACGTTTGTTCACTATTCGAATTTGTTAGAGGTTTTGACATGGCCCTTTGTCGATTATGGAACAAAGAAGCGGATGCCGAGGCAAAAACTGACAACAGTGATCCTTGTCTTACCACAACACTTCAGCCTCTAGAGAAACATGCAGCAACCATCTTTACCAGACGTTTGTTCTTAATGTTCCGTAATGAAATAATTGAGGAAGCATTGTTGATTTTTGATGGAAGGAAAGAGGAGTTCGATCATCGCATATACAAATTTTCAAAGTACACTGAATTTGGTTCCACATGGGAAGTGTCATACCATCCCGCAACTAGCATAATGAAATGTAGTTGCAAAAAGTTTGAGTTCTTTGGACTTCCTTGCAGCCACATGATTTCTGTGATGAAATGCGAACACATGACTGAAATTATCCCAAGTTGTGTGATGTATCGTTGGACAAAGCAAGCAAGAAAGGTTGGTGAACAATATTGCCAAGCCCAATTCTCTAGCACTCTCACACAGGAGACGCGTTTTGGGGTACTTTGCTCTTCTTTTACTGAAATGTGTTACTATGCCTCACAAACATCTGAAGGATTTGAAGAGGCTAGGAATGCATTGTTCACTATGACATGTCGGATGAAGCAGCTTTGCATGGCCAAGGGAACTAATGTTGATGAAGGAAAAAGTTCACTGCCGCCATTTGGGGTTGGGGATTCGAAAGTAGTGAACACGAAGGGGAATACTGGGGGATCCTCCATGGCTAAACCTCGAAAGCCAAGGCGATGCCAGTGTTGCAGGTATACATTATATTGTGCTTTGTGTCTTAATTTTGTTATTGTGAGGTAGTGTTGACATTTTTGTTCTCTTTAATGATTGGTGATTTACTTGACAATGTAGGGTCGTCGGCCACACAAGGAGAACTTGCCCCCAAAACGATCATAAAACGGGACAAGTGGGTAGCAATTTGTTTGAGGAATAGGATGATTATGATCCAATTGGTACTCCCACCCCTTTTACACCGAAGCCTCCCAGGAATAATATTAGGCCATGTAAGACCCACCCTGTGAAGAGACGACTTTTTGTCACTAATGTGGATACGTCTCCAGTGCAGTTGAGCAAGGATGTTAATGACCTGCGTAGTTGCGATGCACAAGTCGTCCAAAATTCAGCGTTCATTGATGCGGATACGTCCCTAGGTGATTACGTTTATGGCATCTTTTCAGTTCAAATTATGTTCATTTTGCTTACATTTGCTTTGCAAATTTTATGTAGCTGCTTAATTCTAATTTCTTGATATGCTAAGATAGATTTTAGCTAGAACATTTTGATGTCATAACTAATTATGATGTTTACAACTTGATTATGAAAATAAATAATTTACGAAAACAAAATGACAAAAGAGTGTGTAATGACCAATATATCAAAATTCAATTTGTTATGATTTGAATCATAAATTTCAAGTGAACAAAGCTTAACGACAATTTAATTTGTTTTTGCAGGTGTTGCTATGGGTAATAGTTGCTATGATCGAGCAGGTGATATTGGAGCTAAACTAAGATTTTTTTTAAAAAAAAAATTGAGGACTTAAATTTGTTAGTATTTTGTATAAATACTCTTAAACGATGGTTGATGGATATTTGTTTTGTTGTATGGACTTAAATCTGTTAGTATTTTGATGGATATTTGTTTTGTATAAATTTCTAGCAAAGGCTATGAAGCCATTTTGTTTAGTGTTTTCGCTCATTTTCGAAGCAAATGCGCAACAGCAAGTGCATATAGAAAATTGAATGCCATTATTCAATCGTCTTTTCCCATAAAATATTCTCTTGAAAATGGCCAAACCATCATTTTAGCTCTGACAATTCTTTGCACAGTAGCATTTGCCACCAAAACGTCAATTGGAACTAATTGGCAGCATGCCTTGTTATTGTCGACCTCTTGTTTACTTTTATCATCGATGTTCTATGATTCGAGAATTTTATTTTTTTCATCTTGAAGAGTTCAGTTGGTACACCCTTCTCAATCTAGGGTCTTGGCCTTTTACAGCAATGAAAAGGATAAAGAAAGGTGACAGGCCCTCTTTCTTTTCTTTATTTCTTTCATCTTCTTTTTTTGTGCTTTGGATGGGCAGACAGAAGCCCTTTTTTAGGCCAAGATTGTGACCAATGCCATCACGTGGTGCCTTGGAGTTTTTCTCAGTGGCGTGGTGGTGGAGACTTGGACAGTGTTTTGGTGCATTGACCAACTTTATTCACCCACGCAAACAACCCTCTCCAAACTAAAGACTTGGCCAAATTACCTCAATAGTTTCTATATTTTGTCTATTATGTTGTTTTGGTGATTGATATTTTAATTAGTTCAATTTTAATCTTAAGTTTTAAATTTTATGTCAATTTAATTTAATTGATAACACTAATTAAAATTTTTGGAGAAAAATGGTTACTAAATTAGTTAAAAATAGGCTCGGCTATTCTAAGATGGCATGCATTTGTTAGAAAGACCCTTCTCTCATTTCAATATTAAAAAAAACAAAACAAAACAAAACAAAAAAAAAGAAGCTAGTGAAAATTAACTAGGAATCTCAATACAGATCACCGATTTCTAAAAAATTGGTTGTCTTTTTTTGTCTTTTTCTTGTAACCTTGGACATTTATTTGCAACTCTTCTTTCATTTCAAATTATATAAATAAATAAATAAAAAAGAGACGAAAAAAAGAAGAATAAACCAAAAATGGAAAAAGAAGCTAGTGAATTAACTAAGAATCTGAATACTTCAGGATCACCATTTTCTGAAAAATTGATTCCCAACAATACCCTGGTTTTAGCCCCTGCAATCCTCAAAAACACAAGACACTTCTGTACTAATTTACAATCTAAAGGCAAAGAAAACAGACTTATCCCACAAAAATGCCAACAAGAAGAATAAGACTATTCCTTGGCCACTTGTGAAGACAAGAACCCCAACCACCAAACAACTATTTCTGAGATGTCGCCACTGAATTTACAATCGCAATTACCTTCTTCTGTAGCTCCGGTTTGTTGAAAATGGTGTTGGTTATGAGATGTGGTTATGAGAATATGTGATTATAGTTATGAGATATGTGATATTTGTTATGATCAAAGTGGTGTTGGTTATGAGATATGTGATTATGATTATGAAATATGTGATGTTAGTTATGACTAAAATGGTGTTGGTTATGAGATGTGGTTATGAAATATGTGATATTAGTTATGAACAAAATGGTGTTGGTTATGAGATGTAGTTATAGCTAAGTTATGATCAATTTGATTATAGTTATGAAGAAATATGATTTTAGCTCATAACTATAAAAAGTGACCTGTTTAGCAGGTCACTTTTAATGACCTGGTTATGAAGTAATATGGTATAAGTAAATAATTGAATATAACTAAGTTATGAGTTAATATGGTGATAGTTATGACTAATATGGTATAGGTTATGATATAAAATCATATAAGTTCATAACTAAATGTATGGTACACCTAAATGTACCATAGCATCACCCTTTCTTTTATTCTTATTAACGAATACTTGATTAGACTAGATATACCTTTAAATTTTTTTCTTTTTTGATAAATAAATGATATATCTTTAATTTTTGGATAGATGAATATGTGTATCTGTTGGTTAAAGCTTCTTCTCTTAATATGCCTGTGCATATTTTGTCCAAGCCTAAAAAGCTAACAATTTGCACAAATTTGATGTGTAATTTTTTTTTGTGTTGCTTATGTCTATCGCCAACTACTTAGGCCCCTCGTTTGGCATCCAACCATTTTATCCTAAAGTCAAAAAATCACTAACAAAACCAAAAAGCCTACCATTTTATCCTACAAACCTATGCACAGTTGAAATCGGGAGCATCTATTTGCACACACTCAATCCTCTATTTGCACATCCTTCTTAATTCACACACCTAAAAAAATAAAAAATAAAATATTTACTCATTACACACACATTTATTCCAATTATATCTCCCATTTTTTACAACTTTCCAACCCTCTCAATCCATACACCTTCTAGACTGGCGACCACCGCGCCAGCAACCACCTCGCCGGCGGAGACGCAAAACCATTGTTACCACCTCCCTTCCAGTCGCCATTCCCACCCCTTCCTCCACCCACTAGCGACAATACCGCGACGCCCACCCCATCCCCTCGATCTCTCTCTCTCTCTCCCCTCTCAGTCTCGAAAAGAGGGCTTCCGATGTTGATTCTTTCCAGATCTAGGCTCTCTCTCTCTCTCTCTCTGTGCAGAATTGAGGGTCGCGAAAGGGTGGAAGCTGCGGCGGCGACGGTGTTGTGTCTCGAAGTGAGGGGTTACGGGGGTGGTGGGGAGGGGGAGTGACCGACGAACGATGGGTTGGGGTGGGGCTTCAATTCGAGAAGAGGGAGGCTGGAGGGAGGCGACGGAGGGAGGCGATGGAGGGAGGAAGGAGATGATCGGAGGGGGAGGCTCTGTTGGGTATTAGGGTTAGGGTTAGGGTTTTGGTTGAAGAAGAAGGGGATATTTTGGTAATTTTATTTTAGGATAAAAATGTAATAAAAAAAATATCACTAAGTGTGTGAGGAAAGGGGAAGTGGTGTGTGCAAATAGAGGCTCCCATTGAAATCACATGGTCTGTGGCGAAAGAGAGGTAAAATGACATTTTTACCCCTCATTTATGTCAAAACCTGCAACTGATGGACTGATATGAACCCTTTGAGCTGAAGACTGGTTACATCCAACAAGATGAATAGAGAGAGGCCCAGGCTTCGCTCAAGCCAACAACACCACACAAGCTTTGAAGGAAAGAACAAGCAACTGAGGAAATATTTGGCGAAGGCCAACAGAAACGTACTTCGTACT